ATAGAAGACATGTTTTTTATTGCAACATATACTGCATATATACTAACATAAACACAATATATACCCACATGGATAGTTGCATGAATTACAATACATGTTTTTCTCTCTCTATATTAAAAACTCACAAACTGCGCGAATTAAGGAATTAAAGGAGCTAGTTATTTATTATATGCATGGTTTTTATTTCCCTCTCTTAATCAAACTCATAAAAGGGGGGATGGAGGTTGAATAGATATGACAACTGACTTTAGACATTAATGTAGTTATATATTATCTATTAGGTAGAGATGTAATTATTTGTGTATGGATTGTATTTTTGCAATTTTTTTCAGAATCTTGTAGGATAGATGAAAATTTTCCTAATTTGTTTAATTTAATTTATTTTTAGTCGATATCATTTAATTCATTTAGCCTTAAATTTGAGGTCACATAAAAGTTTGTGACTAAACTATACACATTTTTATTTCTTTATTGATCCACGTTTGTGCAACTACAGTTTTTTATGAATAAATGGCATAATTTGCTAATGATTGTTAAGTTTTTGTTATTATTACACATTTAATTCTGCTACTAAATCGTTGCAATAGACAAAGTTTAATTCATCAACTACCTTTTTCTCATCATATATATTAAATGTTCGGTTTATCAAAATGAATTTTACTAATTTTATAACTTATATAACACAATTTAGATGTATTTTTTTGTTAATGAAAATCTTTAAAAATTATATTAAATTACATTTCGCATAAGTTACATGCAAAAGATAAGTATATTGTTGTTGACATGAACATTAACGATTAATGTGCCTACTTATAACTTTACAAAATGTGATCTATTTTGCACGTCTATCTGATCAACAAAGGACTTATTTTGCAAATAAATAAATTATTGAATTTATTTTGCCAACTAGAAGAAGCGAAAAATACGTGGATCGAAATTGATTCATTTTTGTATTTTGTTTCTTAAGTATTTAATTTATTTTCTTATTTTTATTGGCTCATATTTATATATTTTTATTTGAAATATTCTATACCAGTTTATATAGAATAGAAATAATGTCTTTATTCTTTCAAAATTGATGAAAATAATGTTATTATCGAGACATTTTTTAAAAAAGTTTCAAGAAGTGTCACTAATGTGACAAATACATTTTTTCGTCAAATATCACTAATAATTTTAAAGTTAGATTTATTTAATTTGAAAATTTTATGAAAATACATGGTATTTTGTAGTCACAATCAGTTATGTGTTGTTATTTCTAAAGTCACGGATATATGTTATTTGATGATTATTATTTATGAGAATAATGGTAATAATTCATCCAATACTAATATTATATTAACAAAAATATTTTAAAATATAATAAATAATATTTTCATCTACATCCAATACTAATATTTTTGTAAGAAAAAAATATTTTATAATATAATAAATAATATTTTTATCTACGTCATTTTTAACATCAAGTCGAATTTCTATAAACATTAAAAATTGTAGAACTATAGTTTTAGGTCCACCATAATTAAAAGTAACAGAGATTATAACCTAAAAAATAAATAAATAAATAAATAAATAACAAGAAAAACAATGATCAGAACAAAAACAAGAAAGAAAAGTATCACTCACAAATTATAGAGAAAGTGCCAAATACAGTAACCATATTCAGGTTCCCAAGAAAATTTGTAAATCATTGTCTTCTAGCAAATTCAAAAAGCAGAGACTACTAACATTCATAAAATAGCAGCAGCTCGCCAAACAAAATACAAATAAGATGTATATCTTATTTCTCGAATTTAAATCATAATATAAAATTAAAATAAATAATTTCGTCCCCACACAAAAACCACCATTTACATGGCGGCAGCCGTCGTCTTCAACCTCCTTTGCCTCCTTTCCGTCGCCGCCTCCGACGACCTCCAAACCCTCTTCCAAATCAAAGCCGCCTTCCAACACTCAAACCCCAAATCAGTACTCGATTCATGGGTACCCGACGCCATCGCCTGCGAATTCCCTGGAATCACCTGCTCTCCCGGCGGATTCGTCACCGGAATCGATCTCTCGAGGCAGAACCTCCGCGGCGGGGTCCCCTTAAACTCCATCTGCCAGCTCAAATCGCTCGAGAAGCTTTCCCTAGGATGGAACCAGCTCAGCGGCCGCGTCGCGGAGGATCTCAACAACTGCTCCTCCCTCAAGTACTTGGATTTGGGGAACAATTTCTTCTCCGGCCCTTTCCCGGACATATCCGCCGTGAACGGGCTGGTCTATCTGTACGCCAACGCCAGTGGATTCTCGGGGGTCTTCCCGTGGACATCCCTCAGTAACATGACCCATCTCCAGGTTTTGAGCCTCGGTGACAACCCGTTCGATCGGACCCCTTTCCCTCGCGTGGTCGTGAATCTCACCCACTTGAACCGGCTCTACCTGTCAAACTGTAGCATCGATGGCGAAATCCCAGAAGAAATCGGGAATCTCGCCGGGCTGATAGATCTGGAATTGTCGATGAATTACATCTCCGGCGAGATCCCCATAGGGATTACCAAACTCAGTAGCCTACGGCAGCTGGAGCTCTACTACAATAGCTTAACGGGGGAATTGCCTGCCGGAATGAAAAACCTGACCACTCTTGAGTTTCTCGATGCCTCGTCCAACAATCTGCAAGGCAATTTGTCCGAAATCCGGTTTCTGAACAAGCTCAAGAGCCTCGAGCTTTACGAGAACCAATTTTCCGGAGAAATTCCTGCCGAGCTAGGGGATTTAAAAAACCTGGTCAACTTATCCCTCTACACCAACAACCTAACGGGCCCCCTTCCTCAGAACCTCGGGTCGTGGGCCGAGTTCAACTACATCGACGTCACCGGAAATTTCCTGACGGGCCCAATACCTCCTGACATGTGCAGGATGGGCACCATGACGAAGCTCCTCGTGCTGCAGAACAACTTGACTGGCGAAATCCCGAGCAGCTACGCCAACTGCACAACCTTGATCCGGTTTCGAGTCAACGATAACAGTCTTTCCGGTCAGGTCCCTGACGGAATTTGGGGCTTGCCCAATGCCCAGATAATAGACGTGGCCGGTAATGACTTGGAAGGCTCGATTTCTTCAAATATAAAAAACGCAAAGTCTCTAGCACAGCTTTTCGTTGCTAACAACAGACTCTCGGACGAAGTTCCGCCCGAAATCTCGCAAGCCTCGTCTTTAGTCTCCATAGACTTGAGCAACAACAAATTCTCGGGCCCAATACCAGAAACGATCGGAAACTTAAAGCAGCTCACTAGCCTCCAACTGCAGGGGAACAACTTCTCAGGCCCAATACCAAACTCATTAGCCTCCTGCCGCTCGATCAACGACATCAATATCGCCTTCAACGAGCTGTCGGGCCCTATCCCGGGCTCCCTCGGCAACCTCCCAGCCCTCAATTTCTTGAACCTCTCGAGAAACGGGCTTTCTGGCCCAATCCCGGGTTCCCTGGCCTCTTTGAGGCTGAACTTGCTCGACTTATCCGAGAACCAGCTGTCTGGCCCTATACCGGTATCCCTTCTGATCGAGGCTAACAATGGCAGCTTCTCAGGCAACAATGGTTTGTGCAGCAGCCAGAGCATTAAAGGCTTCAGGTCTTGCTCGAACAAATCTGTCGGGCCCCACGTTCGAACACTCATGCTCTGTCTCCTTCTTGCCTGTGTTGTCCTTCTTGCTGCACTCGCGGGCATTTGCTACACAAGGAGGAGAAAGGAAGAAGATTTGGGCGGTGGATGGTCTCTGAAGAACGATACTTGGTACCTCAAGTCCTTCCACGCGTTGACTTTCACAGAGGACGAGATTCTCGACTCTGTTAAACCGGAAAATCTGATCGGAAAAGGCGGCTCGGGAAACGTGTACCGAGTCACTGTAGCAAACGGGAAAGAATTCGCAGTGAAGCACATTTGGCACTCGGATGCCAACCCAGGAAAAATTGGGGGCCCGAACCCAATCTTGGGGAGATTTGGGCCTGAAAAGTCCCGGGAGTTTGAGGCAGAGGTCCAGGCGTTGAGCTCGATAAGGCACATCAATGTGGTGAAGCTGTACTGCAGCATAAGCAGCGACTATTCCAGCTTGTTGGTGTATGAGTATATGGCGAACGGGAGTTTGTGGGATCGGTTGCATAACTGTAATAAATTGGGGCTCGATTGGGAGATGAGGTACGAGATTGCTGTTGGGGCTGCCAAAGGGTTGGAGTATTTGCATCATGGTTGTGATCGGCCCGTTATACACCGTGATGTGAAGTCGAGCAATATTCTTTTGGACGAGTGTTTGAAACCCAGGATTGCTGATTTTGGGCTTGCGAGGATAGTTCAGGGGAATTCCAATAAGGAATCGAGTTACGTCGTTGCTGGTACACATGGGTATATTGCCCCAGGTATGGAAAGAATATAGTTTCACAGTTAGNTGGTTCTAATTTAGTATAGAGAAATCTTCAATTCCAAGCAGGGCTGGTATTAAGGTTGGAAAATAAATTTTTGGCACAAATTGAAACTTTGTGTTTCATCTGGGCTTTTAGATTTATATCTAAAAATGTGTTTAAGAAAGACGAAAGTCAACTCAACTCATGTTTTATTTCCTTCTGGGTTGTGTTTTTGCAGAGTATGCATATACGAATAAGGTGAATGAAAAGAGCGATGTATACAGCTTTGGGGTCGTGCTAATGGAACTTGTGACGGGAAAAAGGCCAATGGAAGCCGAGTTTGGGGAGAACAAAGACATAGTCGACTGGGTTTGTCGCAATCTTGAAACCAAAGAGAGTATATTGAGGTTGGTGGACCCAGATTTTGAAGTGATTCACAGGGAAAGTGCTGTCGAGGTTTTGAAAGTGGCCATTCGCTGCACGGCCACTCTACAGTCTTTAAGGCCTACCATGAGAACTGTGGTCCATATGCTCAAGAAGGCTGATCCTTCACAATTTGTTAGCATTCTTGTTACTAAAGATGAAGGGGTTAAGTAAGGAGTTGGGTGGAGAATGGAGGAATTTACGATTTGACCCTCTTAATTCGGAAGTTCTTCGGTATTTCGTGTGCCCTGAGTTCGGTTGGGTGATGGAATAGCATGGATTGTAGATTATAGTAACTTTTTAGCTAATAAAATTTTGTCATTTTAGGGAGAAATTTTCATTGTTGACATTGTTGTAATATTGTTGTTAATTTGTGCAGTGAAGTTGTAAGCTTTGTCATGTATAGAATGAAACTGTTTTGGTGATTGTAAATGCAGTTTGTCTTATTGTGCAATTCTGTACAACTTGATTAGTAATGTCTGGTTACATTTTATGAACGGGCAAATGGGAAAATATGGCTTGGTCTAGTTTTAGTTCCTCGTGGACCATGGTTTTCTCGACAAGTTACTATTACATATTTCTTTTTATTGACGGAATAGCTCAATTCTGATGTAGCTCAATTCTGATGTAGGGAAGCGTACGAGTGGGAAGGATAAACGAGATACTCTCTCGATAAAACTAATCAAATCTTATTTCATTCAAAAATCAACCAACTAATAAAAGAATGAGTGTTTAAATAAGACTCTTAATGCCCTAAACCTATCTTGTCCACCAAGCTACTAAGTATTAAATAATAATATTAAATGCTAATAATAATAAGAAGAATAATACTAAACCTTAAACTAATGCCTATCCGCATCATTCTCCTCCGGTTCGATAGGCTTCGCCCTCGAAGTCGCACCAACCGTGTCGACCGGAGTCGTACCCAAGGAAACCATTGCCTGTTGTTCTCCCTATCGACCACGAAGGTTGAATGCCGTTCAACTATGTCATTGGTCATTAGAACAACAACGGCCCTGGGGTAGACTTCTTAAGCAACCCAGCAAAGTGCTTAACATACTTTTTCTCCTCTAGGTAGCAAAGATCCATCGACTTCCAGTCAACCTCAGGACCCTTGGTGTCAAGCATGATGGCGATAACGTTGTCTTTTGCCTGGGCATTATACTCTACCAAATCATTGATCATTTGGTGTGATGCATGGTCTCCTTGAGACATATTAAGACGAGCAGTATTTATTCCAGCCTCCGCCAACTTCCATATCATCTCCTCCCGCTCTTCATTCTCTTCAATTTCTTTTACTGCGAATTGAAATCCTATATTATGTTCCTCTGGCCCCGGAGGCTCCGCATCGTAAATCGGCGGACCGTCGTATAATGGCCTATCATCTTGTTCTGCGCCGAATTCAGGGATGTCAATACGAACACGAAACGGGCCCTCCCATTGACCCTATTCGCAATCAAGTCCCCAATCGCGTCGGGCACGATATCCGCTGGCAAAGACAGTCTCCTCGCGCCTGCCTATGTCGTCGCGTTGATCATCGCCGTCCACGAAGACCGAGCCCCATCGTCGCATGTCACGGCCGCCGTATGCAGCGAAGGGGTCAGCCTCGACGTGCGGGGTTAGAAAATCGTCGAAGGGATTCACCTCCGAGATTGTCTCCTCGCCGTCTTCGTCATCGGACGGTGGTTGTGGAGATCTCTGGCGGGTGCCTCGCTTGGACCACGGCCTCCACGTCCTCCGTGAATTCCCCCACGCACGCCCCGGTTGTAGGCGTCACCATACGTGCGCAAATCCCAGACCACGTTGTCAAGCGTCAAATGCAAATCCTCGATCCCCGTTGGAAGATCGGCAAACCAATCTGTGAACCGTACGTCTAACTGTTGAAATCGGTAGTCGATCTGTTGAAACCAATCGTTGTAGGTTGCGTCACGTCGTTCGTTTGCGGCATCTTGTCGTCCCAGCGGCATCGCAAATCGTACTGACTGCTGATATCAACTGATGTAGAACGTCATATGAACGGGAAGAACACGAGATACTCTCCCGTACAAACGGAAAGAACTCGAGATACTCTCTCGCAAGAAAAGACGATAGTCTGATAAATCTCAAATAATCTTATTATTACTATTAGCATTTAATATTATTATTTATTACTTAGTAGCTTGGTGGACAAGATAGGTTTAGGGCTTTAAGAGTCTTATTTAAAGACTCATTCTTCTTTGTTATTAGTTGGTTAATTTTTGAATGAAATAAGATTTGATTGGTTTTATCGAGAGAGTATCTCGTTTATCCTTCCCACTCGTCAAAATGAGGTCTGCCGTCATGAAACCCTAGACCAAAAGGCCGCCAATCGACGTCATCTTCCTCGTCTGACCGACCTCGCCTCAAAACGGCCGTCACGGAATCTGCTATCGCCGCTGCCAAAGCCGCGAGGATGACGCCCGTCGTCGTGGTCCCTCTGCCGGAAGACGTCGTCATCCGCCGAACGCCGCCACTATTCTCCAGCGAACGGATTAATCTTGCTGACGGTGTCTTTGTCTTCCTCGTCGCCGGACGGAGCCCCTGGTGAACGCTGGCGGGGCGCCCCGCCATAGTCGCGTCCCCACGAGTTGGAAGGATAAACGAGATACTCTCTCAATAAAACCAATTAAATCTTATTTCATTCAAAAATCAACCAACTAATAACAAAGAAGAATGAGTCTTTAAATAAGACTCTTAAAGCCCTAAACCTATCTTGTCCACCAAGCTACTAAGTATTAAATAATAATATTAAATGCTAATAATAATAATAAGAATAATACTAAACCTTAAACTAATGTCTATCCGCATCAAGTTCAATTATTGCGAGCATGGTTTTCTTGAGAAATTCCATGTTTTCATCTCATTAAACAGTAGCCATCACCCAATAATGTCTTTTAAATGGGATATAGCTCGATTCAATTATTGATACTGCAGACAATGACATTAAAATGGGCCAATCAAGAATCATAGTATAAAGTATAGCAATAATGCTAAGGAGTCAACTGTTGGAGTCACAACTCGCCACATTGGAGTCATGTGGGACAGCCCCACATGGAGCTGTCCCATTGACTGTTGGCTCCATAACAAAGCCAATGTGACTCCAACAATTGACTCCTTAGCGTTACTGTAAAGTATGGCGAGTTGTGTGCTTTGGTCTACGTCTAAATGGTTGGAAATGTTAATATACAAACAACTAATATATGCAGTTCTTTTGTCTGGCATTCACCTTGATCAGACTAGGAATAAAAAAGTGTTATTGTCACTAAATAGCCACATAAGTATACAAAACAAAAATTTTGACCATGTTTTGTAAAATCATCTCTTTAGCCATTTTGGCATGTGACATACCCCTAATTCAATTTTACCTTTATACTATTTTTTCCTTCCCCTAATACAATTCAATTCACACTGTTGTAATAATTTTTACCGGAGTAGAATCACAAGATTCGAACACCGGGTCGTGTCTCACGAGGAAGGTTAGCCGGAATACTTAGCACGTTTATTCAAGCACAGATAAAAGAGATAAAATTCCTGAACATTCTAATTCAAATGATTTGGTTTGATTATCAACTACGTAAAACTTAAAATTAAGCAAATAGAAATAGCAAAGCAAAGACGATGAACAAGCAATATTAAAGAAGCTAGGGAGTCGGGGATATCCGTTTTGGCTCGAATTGCAACTCTCGGGTCAGTTATCGTTCGGTTAAATGATTCGAATAATTCACTCGTTCAGAGATTTATCCTCAATAACTCTTCGTAACAAGAGGACAGACGTGAACGGCGAATTAACGGGTCATTTAACACCTAGGCAATACCGTTACGAACAAGCCTAGTTTATACGAGTCTATTTCTATCGACTCCTCCCTTTCGGTTCTAAAAGTCGATTGAATTGAACTAGAAGGTGTTTAACCAACTAGTCCGTTTAGCATTCACAACATCATGCAAGAACGAATCAAATTCAATCGAAATCAATTGGAAATTGAAGTGTCACCCTTCAACAATTCTCAACTTTCAAGTATGATAATTGAAACCCTATTTAAGAACAACTCGCACAAATTGAACGATCAATGAATCCCAACAATCACATACGAATCCAAAACATTAATCCCCTATCCCTAGCTTACGGATTTAGCTACTCATCATAGATCCAACATCAACATACACATCAATCCAAGCCATCATAATCATAGATAAAACAAAGAAAGAAAGCTTACGATTAAATATGAATCCAATGTCGAAAAGCAATGAACAATCCAAATCCTAAAGCTTACTCTTGGTGTTTTCACATTCCAAGATCAATTCCAAGCGAAAGATAAGAGAAAACTGAGTTCTGGGGTGAAAAAGTACGAGAGAATGATAAAACCTAGAAAGAACATCCTCAAAAACTGATCAAAAATCCGAAATAAAAATCTGCTCGTCGCAACTTCCGCGGCCGCGGTGAAGAAATCCCGCGGCCGCGACCATCTCCGAGGCCGCGAGCTCGACTGGCCAGAAATGGGACGTTCTAAGGCCTTTTGGGACTCTCCCGGCCGCGAGATTTCTTCACCGCGGCCGCGAGATTTCTTCACCGCGGCCGCGGTGAAGGATTTCCTGCACAACCAAAAAACGTTCTCGGGTTCGTTTGAGCTCATTTCAACTCGGAATTCGATTCTGCTTTTTCCTGTGTGTTCCCAACGAACACTTCTATATGATTAGGCTTGCCCAGCTAGTATTTTTTCGAACTCCTGTTCTCCCGAGACTTCCGACTAAACACCATAAGCAAACAAAAACCGAAAAAATACACGGAAAACACACGAAAGACTAAAATAGAGCGAACCACGAAATAAATTACAAAACGAACTAAAAGCCAACTAAAAGACCTAATATGGGGGAAACAAAAAGACAAAAAGACAACGAGAAACGGAACAAAAATGGGACAAACACACACAATTTCCCCCACTTACGCAGTGTTTGGTTCGGTGGAAATGGAGGGGAGGGGAGGGAGGTGAGGGAATTTTTTAACTTTCTCTGTTTGGTTCAATTTTTTGTAGGGAATGGGGTTAGGATTTTCCCTTCAAATCCCTTGTCCAGTAGAAAAAATGCTCCCCTCCAAAAGTGGAGGAATTTGGAGGGGAGGAAAAAAATTTAATAACAAAATTGCTCTTTTGACCTTATTCTGTGAATTATTTTATATTTTTGTTTCTTACATCATTAAAGGTATAACTGTCATTTTTACATTATTTTCTTTCCCTTCTATTTTTCTAACTAAACAAATTTTATCATTTTCTCTCCACTCACCTCCTACAAAATTCCTCCAAACAAGGTAAAATTATTTTACATCACCTCCCCTCCACTCACTTTCCTTCCATTAAAATCCCTCCCCTCCCTTTCCCTTCCTTGAACCAAACATACCCCCGTCCGGGAACATCTTGAGAAATTCATCGACCGTGATTTTTTTTGAGAAATTCATCTTCATCTTCAAATTTTCCGTCTGAACACCGTCCCGGAACCTCATTATAGGCCAGGTTGAGACTCCTCCATGGCAAGGCAACACCGTCCGAGCATCTCATCCCCCCGTTCGAATACCGTCCGGGAAGTTCCACCTCCGCCCTTCACTCTTCACGACCTCGCTCTCACGACCTCGCTCTCACGACCTCAACGACCTCGACCACGCCGTCATTTGTTTGCTCAACTCCTCATCGGAATCTGAAATCAGGTAGCGACTTTACGACTTCCCTTTATTGTTCAAATTAGGGGTTTTTTTTTTTATTTTGAATTAGGGNTCCGTTGTAAGATTTGAATCTGAGTTTTGTAAACCAAAAGATTGAACTTTTAGCTGCTTAAAAGTAAAAAGACGATAAAGAGAAAAAGATTGAACTTCTAGTTCTAGCCTTCAAAGGTGAATGGAAAGAGAAAAGATTGAACTTTGAAATTTGGGGATTTATCATTGACAAAAGATTGGACTTTTAGCTGCTTAAAAGTGAAAAAAGGATGAAGAGAAGAAGATTGAACTTCTAGTTCTAGCTGTCAATGGTGAAGGAAAAAAAGAAAAGTTTGATCTTTGAAATATGGGGATTTATGAAGGAATTAGGGTGATTTGTCTTTAACTGAGACTCGGTTGGTACGCGTTATGAAATAAAGTCGCTTAAATTAATTATAATAAAAAAAATCTAAGGGTTCAAAATAAAGAACAAATATATTAGGCCATGCTTGTTTATGAAATAATTCATTTTCCACTCAAAATCTAACTCAACTTTAACTCAACCCCACTATCATTTATGGCCATGCTTGTTTATGAAATAATTCATTTCCCACTCAAAATCTAACTCAACTTTAACTCAACCCCACTATCATTTATATTATTTATATAATTAAATATTATAAATCAATCATTCTTACATATAACATCAACTTTAATTCACTATTCATCCACTCACATAATTTTAACTACCTATCATTTCCAATCATTTCCAATCATTTATATCCTACTTTTACATCAAATCATTAATAATCATTTCCAATCATTTATATCCCACTAATAATTAACCATACTACCTTTTTCAAAATTAACTCTAGTTAACTAAAATAATTCATTTTGAATGAAATATTTCATAAACAAGCACGCCCTAAGCTTTTCCCCTTACCCATTACATACCCTTATTATTTTTTTCTCATTTTCATAAACAAAAAGTTCCGCCACTAGCTGTATTTTTTTTTTTTAATAAAACTAGTTGTAGACTTTCCACTTTTCAACATTCATAATTTAAATTTGGTTAAAATTAAANAAAAATAGCAGCTGAAAAATTGGAACAAATATTTTTTAAGGCGTGGTCATATCTTACGTTCGTGCTCATACCTTACGGAAAATTTCTTTCTATTATCACATGTACATAACAAGAACGATATCACGATAAATATTGGACACATCCCTATATATACAATTTCAGAATGCGCTGAGCTTAAGTGACAGGCTCACGCGCTTTAGAATCCTACTTGGCGAAAAATTATACTTCGTAATTTGGTTTGAATAAATATAATTTATGCTAAATCAATAATTTTATGTTCGGACATTCTATAAATATTGAAAAGCTAACTTGGGTATTTCCATTAACTAAATTAACCCTTAATTTATTTTGTATACTTACTTAGTGCTATTTACATGACTAATATGGTCCTAAAATTTGTTTTGAAATCTCTTACTTTTCCAAATTGAATGTTACGATCAAAATGATTAATATATCAAATTTTCATACACATATATTGAATTTTTATATATAATATATTAAATTAATCATGTCTTGATGACTTTGATTTGACGTGGCGGAAGTGCTAGTGTGAGACAATCGACCTCGACTCGTTTTTATAGTTTACATATTTTTGTATTACTGCTTCTTACTGTTGTATTTATGTTAATGCACTTCCCAATGATACGTCAACCGGGCATTTCTGGTCCACTATAGAGAAGATAACATATAAAATAATTAAATAATTTTATTTATATTTATAATTAAATTAAATTATCTATTAATAATCTTTTATTATTAACTCAAAAAATATAATTACCACGCCTTAAAAAAAAGTCCAGCTAGTGGCGGAAATTTTTTCGTTTACGAAAAAGAGAAAATAAGTAATAAGTGTATGTAATGAGGGAAGGAAAAAATCTAATATATTTGTTCTTAATTTGACCCTTAGATTTTATTTGATTAGTATCAATCTAAGGGCGGTAAATTAACAGCTAGGGCTGCTGTTAGTGGGTCACAGCATCCCACGGAACCCATTTATTTGGTGCCTAAATATGTTTTGGGGTAATCTTATAACGGTTTCTCTCGTTTTCTGATAGAAATTCATGTCTTTGATAGACAAGAAGAGGTAAATTTATCTCTATGCTTTTACAGTTTTACTAGCCACATTCGTTTGTGTTTCGAAAATACTGCTTGGGCACTTGGATGAAAAGAATAACATTAGAGAAAGTTTGAATCACTGGATAAGGTTTTGCATTATATGTCTCTGCTTTTTTTTCCCCTCTTTTATCTCCTTTGATTACTTAAACTAGTTTTTGTCCCGTGCATTTGCACGGAAAACTATATGATACATGAAAAAATAATAAAAATTATAAACAATAGTAAAAATCATAACAAAATCATTAAAAAATTTAAGAAAAAAAATATAAATATTCTTAATCACTTCTTTATAAAACAATGTCGTGGTTTTTCTATCGTCAAAATCTCCCTTAGCTCAAATCAAAATCTTCAAACCCCACTGACTCGTAACTCTAAAAAGCGCCACGTATAATTGCTCGTGACTAAATGCAGAGCTCTTCAGTAGTAAGCCGACGTGCGACAGAGATTGTCTTTGACTCTTATTAATCATGTCATAGCATAGGAAACACTTCTTTATATTGTTTGTCCTTGACTCTTATTGATTGATAGAGATTGTCCTTACTTCTTAATAAAAAAATACCATCTAAATATAAATGAGTAAATATAATATTAATTTTTTATATAAACAAAAAATTTAAAGTAATTGATAATGAGTATAGAATTACCCTTGCGGATATTGTTAACCAACATTCTCAGGTGCGCATTTTCATGGTTGTCCATTGTAAAATAAATCAAATGTACTTAACCGCTCGAGAAGCATTTATGATGTGACTTATGGAACTATTCTGAGACGAACCTTGAGAATTTGCGAATGGAATACCTAAAATAAAAAATTAATTCATAATCAACAAAATATATACAATAATAACAATCTTTCTTATAATGAGATAAACATTTAATAATGATACAAAAAGTACAACAATAAACAAAGTATATACCATATTCTTGGATAATATAATGCGAATTTTAAGTGACAACCGATCTTTAGAAGGAAGGTGTTGCAGTAGGCATATCAAATAACGTACTCACAATAATTAAATTGATAGAATTAAATTATAAGCTGCAATGTATTTTTTAAAGTTTTAGACACAACATATAAATTATATATATTATAAGATTTATTTTATAAAATATTGTGGCAATAATAAAATGAAACAATCATATTTTGTTGGACAACTTTTCGCCAATAATATTGCCAAAAAGTATGATTCATCGGTGATTTTATTATGTTTTTCAAACCAATATTAAAAAAAAAAACACCTGAGATTATTTTTTCGAGACAAAAGAGAGATGACAAAGTGAAATCGTCCCGATTATGAAGAACCAATTTACTGATTCAGTGTATTTCGGTTAAAATTGGGTGATTACATGATAGATCTTTGAAGATCTACAACATTTTTCTCTGGATTTTTTTTTGTTTTGCTTTTTGAACATTTTTTCAATTAAAATCGTTATGACATAATAGATCTGTAAAGATCTATATTTTTCTTTTGAGTTTTTTTTTTTTAAAAAAAACTCATATCATGAGCTTCCCATTAGGGTTAGCTTCCGACGGATTGGAACCGCACGCATCGTGATTTTAAGAGGCCGATTAAGGCCCTTTTGTTATATTTAATCACAGTCAGAAATTTTCTTATGTATGTTTAATTTTTTTTTGTGGATTCAAGTTATTTCAACGATGTTCTTTTTATATATCTAAGAGTTAATTTTTTTTTTCTGATTTATATGAATATAAACACATTTAACTAATTTTTATAAAATTTATTGAAAAAAGTCACTATTTTTTCGAAAAACTGATAAGATATTACGATAATACTGTACTTAACATAAATGTGGGATTAATTAAAAGAAANAATACTCGCTAGAGCCCGTTCGGACCTCAATATATGGTGTGATTTCTTGCATGAAAATACTGCCATACAAATCACTACTTGAGAAAAGTGCCAACAGGCAAGGAAGAAGAAGACCAACCTGCCTATAACTACCACAATTTGTGTTTTCTAAGGCTGAAAATAAAAGTATTCCATTTGAAATTGATGATACAAGACTTGACCTAGTTTCATTAAATATATAATTAATCTAGCTCTTGTTTAATCATATATGAATAGTTGATAGAACTGGACCAAATTAGATAATAATTATAAAAAAAAAAATATTGAATAAATCTCGATAATCACATCACGTATGTCTGATCCCTTCATTTGGTGTAACTAGCTACGAGTGATGGAGTTGCTTTGTAATTATCTGATGATATGTTTAAATTATGATTTTACACTTGTAGATCAAAATATGGTTTGAAAAGTGATAAAACCATCAATCTTGGTCCATTCCTGATACCTTATTATAACTACTAGATACTAGAGAAGAATGTTGATTTATCTCTGACCTTTTCTCTAATTTCATTTATGCACTGCCTGTGTTAGTTGATGTAGCATATTGTTTACACAAAAACAATTTCTTGTAGATGATTAATATTTTTGGATTTTATTTTCTATTTTTTATTTGTAGCTTGCATTTTAACATATACAGATTATTCATTTTTCCTTCCACAATCATAGAGTGCCATCATAATGACTTCTCCAACCAAGGTTAGT